TCTGCCTCAGCCTCCAAGAATACTGAGGTTACCCATGTACACGGCCACACTTGGCTTCTGGAGCTCTCTTTTAGGCCACCAGTCCATTTGTCTTTTCTTGTGCTAGCGCTGCACTATTTTAACCATAGAGATGCTACTGTGTTTTAATATGTTAGCTAAGACTCTCCTCATGGCTGTTATTTTTCAGTATATTAGCTATGGTCTCACAGGCTTATTTTTCCATACGAACTTTACTGCCACTTTTCAAATATCATAAAATATTTTTTGTTTTATTTGGAATGTATTACATCAGTTGGTGAATTCAGGAAGAACTGTGATTCCACCACCTTGAGCCATCCCACCTAAAACAAGCATATGCTCAAGTCTACTTCTGTGTCTTTTAGGAGTGCTTAAATTTTAGTCTTGTTTGTGACACTGGGGATTGAACCCAGATCCTTCACACAGAGCTACATTCCAGTCCTTTTTATTTTTGAGACAATATTTCAGAACTACATTGCCCTAGCTGGGCTCAAACTTGCAATCTTCCTGCCTCAGCCCAGCCTGGCTCAAAGCATATTTCTTTTAAAATTTATTCTAAGTGTGGTCCATCCTCATTATTCACGGATTCCATATAAAGTAAGGTATTTTAAAGCAGAAACATTCATTAAACAAGGTTATTATGTATTAATCAGTTGATGAAAATACTGTGACCAGAGATTTGTAGGAATTTATCTTCATATCTTCCCTCGGGGTAACGATTCAGTATTTGGTGTTAGAAGCAACTTGATAGAAGATAACTACTGCAAATAATAAGAATCAACCGTATTTTTCTCTTTTGCTATTGTAACCGAGGATTTCTCTGTTACTACGTCTTGGTCGTGATTTGTGTATACTGATTTCTGCATATTAAATTTATGTCCTCTGTCTCCCTGGGCTCTCACGATTTGGTGTTACAGATTCTCTCAGGGGTTTCAGGCAAGCACGTTTTGTGCAAATGTACTTTGTTTTTGTCTTTTCCAATTCTCAGTTCTCTAAGTAACCTCTCTGGTTTCACAGTCTGGGCTACAACCTGCCTTCTGTCCCGCGGGTGCAGTTTGTCATCTGTGGGAACTGCTCTGAGTTGGTAATGGCTGAGGTCATTAACCTCAGCCTTCTGGAGTTGAATGAAATGTGGAGATGACAGAGGCAACTGTCCTTTGATCTTAGACACCACTCTTGGTCATCCGTCCTCTTCTGGACACTTGCCCTCTTTCTCTGAGGAGTTTCTCTCTCTCTCTCTCTAGTACTCACCCTGGCCTATATCAGTTTTTTTTTTACACGCAACGTTTTATTAGTCCATATTTGCAGTGCATAATGATTATATCTACCGTGGGGAATTGGTACATGCACATAAAGCAACTTTTCTTTTGTCCCCTACCCCTTCCATCACTCCCTGTTCCTTCTGACACTTGGTCTCTTTCCCATTTGCAAAAGCTCTATTTCCATTTTTTCTTTTTTTTAGAATACCCTTTCCTTCCCCTTTCTTCCCTCCCCTCCATCTCTTGTTCCCTATCCCATTTGAAAAAGACTTCCCTACTTTCTATTATTTACCTTTTGTTTTGCTCTTTGTTTATATTTTGCTTCCCATGTAAGAGAAACTATGTGATATTAAGGCTTGTGTGTCTAATTAATTTCACTTACAGTCTCAAGGTGCATCATGTACCTATAGGTGCCTCAAGTTTATCCTTCTTTATGGCAGAATAGTACTCCATTGTGGGTTTTTTTTTCTCTGATTGAGTTTATTGGTACATTTTAGGTATACAGTAGTACTCCATTTGTATAAATACAGTACCACATTTTCTTTATCCAACCACCTGTTGATAGACACGTAGGCTATTTCCAAGACTTAGCTATAATGAACTATAGAATATCTCTGGCTATTAGAGAAATTAAAAGGACTTTAGGATTCTATCTTGCTCCAGAAAGAATGGCCATCATCAAGAAATCAAATACAAGAAATGCTGATGAGGAAAAATGCTGTGGGGAAAAGGAAGCTTTCTACACTGTTGGCAGGAAGGTAAACTAGTACAACCACTACGGAAATCAGTATGGAGATTCCTCAAAACCTAACGCTAGAAATTCTGGATCCACTATCCCCTTCTAGGAGTCTTCCTGAAAGAGCTAAAGACATCACAGGAGTGATCCACGCACACCCACATTTACAGCATCCCCCATAGTCCTCCTCATTCATCCAGATATTTCTGCCCCTGCCTTGTGACTCAGCCAATTATATACAGTGACCATAACATCTGGATACTTAGCTGTAGTCATTGTTTTGTTTGGCTTCCAAATGGAATTTCTTTCATTGCTGCTAGTATGTGCTAAAAATTCAGTTTTATTCATTGAAAAGTCAAGCACACAAATCCTCCCCCACCCTGGGGCAAAGCATCGAGGCCTCTTCAAAGTGGATGGACAAGCACAGATGCACGGCTGTCCCTGCTCGGCACAACAGTTACCTTCAGATTTATAGACACCATGAGTTACCGTGGCTGGGACTTTTCAAAATCAGTGTCATTTCTGAGGTAATTTCTACTAACTTTTCTCCTCAGTAAGGTTTGTATTTTTTGCCACGCTTGTCTTCAGGCAGATCTTTGATTGCAAGCCAGAAATTGTGCACTTCACCTTGCTGGATGGTGGATATTTTTCATTTTCTAGAAGTATTCTTGAGGCTTCTTCTGGGTCATAGTTGTTTGGAAACCCTTTGACTCTCCCAGGTCTTGCCTTTAAGCTTTGTTTGAGGGGAGCAGAGGAGCATTTAGTCTAAGGCAGTTTGCTCTCCTTTGGAGCAAATCCCTTCGGCGTGTACTACCTGCCACCCTGAATAGTCAGGATCTCCACTGTGGCTGGAGGGAACAGGAATTCTCCCCAGCTCTAGTCTTTCTGAGCGGTCCTTTTCTCTGGCCTTGATTAAGTTCCCCCCAGCCATACTGCTCAGTACCAAGCTGAAGACCTGCAGGGACCCCAAACAATCATCTCTGGGCTTCCCTCCGTAGTGCTCTCCTCTCCAGTGCTCCACCCTACGAACTCTGGCTGCCTCAGGCTTCTCAGAACCCCAGCCCCATTTCCTCAGCTCAGAGCTATGAGGTTCTTCCTCCCTGTGCAGCAGTCCAGAGTCTCCTGGGAGCCACCAGGGTACTATACACCTCGCCTCCTGTGCTCTCCTTAGTCACTGGCCGTCTTTGCCTGATGGCCGGAGATTGGGAACTTGTGCTCCATGCATCCTGTCAGGTGTTTTGGCTGCTCTGGGTGGCAGAGCAGATCTAGTGTCTTTTATTCCATATTGGCCAGAAGTGGAAGCTCGCCTTTATAATGGCAATTTATCCTTCTCACTGACCTGGGCATTGCCATCCAATATATCATGTAAACCAGTGGTGGTGAACCTACAGCACGAGTGCCACGGGGTGGGGGGCTATTTGTATTATTAAAAGCTCTGAAAGGTTGGGCATTACAGATGTAAAAAGTTATTGAATGCATCATGCATTGTCATGGAACCATTATAACAATGATATATCCTCGTGCCCTGTACCTCTTTATCCTTGCACGCTCCCCCCGACCCCCTGCCACCAAACAGAAGTGACTGGTCCAGTAAGAAAGTGGAGATGGAGAGAGATGGAATACAGACAGAAAGCGGGCACCTTGCAGATGTATGACGACGCACTGCTGGAGCCTGGCACCCTGTCACACTGAGCGGCTTGCTGGGTGACTGAAGAACATGTGTGATGGACGACTGTGTGAGGCTGGCTGAAGGAGCGGTTTCTGTCCTGCTCCACTGTTCTCCACTGCGTGTAACAGATGCCCGCATCCCTCAGGCCCTCCTCCAGAGCACAGCTCTTATTAGCAGAGAACTGTCCACAACCTTCCTGCGGGGAAGATGGCTCTGAGTCTTGGGGCACAGCAGGTCCCCTCACACACTGTCCCTACCTGCCTTGAGTCATCTCCTCGTTCCTGATTCCTTCTTGGCCACATCTCTATTTTTATCTTCATACTGAGCTGATGTTTCTTACTTTTCCTATGTGGAAATGGATTCTTCCTCTAATTTCTTCAATGTAATCCTGATGCCCATAGCTTTCAGGAATGTGAATACCACCCTTAACTAGGTTCTGAAGTTTTAGAGTATTGGAACTCTTGCCCTGTCTTTACTATTTGCCAAAAACCTCCAACTTGTTTCTTATTAATAATCTGCACTCCATTTTTATCTAGCCCTGGTGCTGGAATTTGGCAGAGCTATTTCAATTTTGAAATCAGTGAACAGAACTGAGTACTTTTATATGGTGTTGCTAAAATGTGTTCAAAGAAAACAATGAGATGAGCCCAGTAGTTTTGAAATGTTTCCAATGTAAGAGTTTTTATTCTGCTTCTGTGCTCAATTCGAGGTGCCTACAACAGACTACAGACATGAATAGTTAGGAGGTTCAATAGGAATGTCCAGGAAACAATAACATAGACAATGCTTAGTCTCACTGATCTCAGGCAAGTTGTCAGGTCTCAATTTCAATCCTCATGTCAAGGGACAAAACCCCTAATTCAGATGGGATCACCAATTTCAAACAAGACTGCAGGCTTAGAGTCTAAGTGAACTGACTTCCAAAGACTTTGACAATAATGTATCAAATTGGAACCTCTGAGTGTGTAGCATGTACCAGAGATTGAGATGTTTGGTGAGGAAGGGGGAAAAGGGAATAAAGAAAGGTCAGGGGAAGCTAGGTGTGGTGGTGCCCACCTATAATCCCAGCACTTGGGAGGCTGAGGCAGGAAGATTGCTGTGAGTTGGAGACCAGCCTGGGCTACATAGTGAGTTACAGTTCAGTCTCAACTACATAGTGAGACCCTGTCTAAAAAAAAAACCAAAAACCAAAAACAACAACAAAAGAGAAAGGTCGGGGGAGCTGAGCATGGTGGTACATGCCTATAATCCCAGCATGTGGGAGGCTGAGGATTCCGAAAATTCCAGACCAGCCTGGGCTACATAGTGAATTCCAGGGCAGTCCAAACTACACAATGAGACCCTGACTCAAAAAACAAACAAACAAACAAACAAAAAACATGTCGGGGAAGCCAGAAGCAATGTTCTCAAACAGGTGGGAGAGGTGGGTGGGTAGAGGGGACCCCAGGGAGGCAGAGGTGGTCTGAGTGATGGCCTTACCTCAGTGAGGGGCTTGTCCCGCAGTGTTGGGTACTGAGGTCTGGGCAGCCCTGGGGAACGCTGGTTCTCAGAAACTTAGTTGCCACTAGACTGCTTTAAGTTTTCTCAGTGATGGTCCTTCACCCTTTGTGGTGTGGGTGGCTCCCAGAAGACAGGGTACAACTGCTGGAGGTGGAGTTGTGGTGCTGATGGCCAGGCCCCTAGACCCCAGGCTGAGGGCCTTCTCTGGGGAAACGGATGTCAGTGTTACTGAGGAGGGTTGGTCCCACCCTGGCCTGGCATCCGGGGCATGACTGCACATGCCCTCTCCTTGGGAGAGATCTCAGAGTACTCTGGGGATGGACAGTGTCGCCCCCGCCCCCCTCCTTGGGTTTGGGGTGTTGAGTGTGCTGGGGTGGCATTCTTGGGACCTGGTGCCGTGGGAAATGCCGTCTGAGTCTGAGGACACCGTCTCCTGCAGAGGTGGCCTGTTGGTGGCTTTCTTTTTCTTCCTTCTGGGGTTCTCCTGTCTTGGTTCTTTGAAATGCCTGGGGTCAACTTCTTTCACTGGCCAGAGTGGGAAAGTAGAGTTCCTCAACTCTGTGTCTTCCCTAGAGAGAGGAGGAGACAGAAAAAGAGGGATCAGGGGGTGCTGTGGCTTTGACAGCCTCTGTATCACCATGATGTCCAAGCCCTACGAGAGTGTTGTAGCACTTTGTCCCCCATCCTCCTGAGTGAAGGAACCTCAGGAGTCCTGCTGTCCCAATACCTTGAGCTATGCTGAGTTGCCCCCAGTTTACCTCCACAGGTAAACCACACACAGAACCTAACTGTTTGGACCCAGGCCTGGCTGCATCAGTGAAGGAATAACCCAAGGAGGTCAGCTGGGCACCATGACAGTCCTAGGCATCCCTAACTGGAGCTCCTATGAGAGAGACCTTCTCCCACAGCCCTGGTTCTTCTAGTAACTTGATTCAACTTATATTTCATTGAAAAAACTTGGGCATGACTATGAGGTCATACAGCTAGATTTATGATTTGGAAAGTGTACCAGACGAAGCTTATTTACTTATCCAGAAAGGTGGACTTTCAAGGAACACCGTGAGCCATTCCAGCTATGCTGCCATAGCTGTTGTAGGAACTCACCTTTCTCAGAGCCTCCTGGGTCACATGATGGTAAGCCTTATTTTGCTCTCATATCAGCACCCTGCTTTCATGCTGAATAATTTTTAGTTTTGTTTTATTTCTACTCTAACTTTAGCTCATTGCTGCTTCTGGAAGATGCCAGGTAAAAGATAATAAACTGGGAAAAGATTTTTTTATTTCTTTCTGAAAATTCCATCCTTCACATCCCTCTTCTGGGGATGGAGATTCACCAGACCTGATCATTTACAGAGAGGGGCTCCCAGACTCAGGAGAAAATTCTCAAGAGAAATTTAGAAGATGGCTTGAAGAGCAGCAGTAACATTGGAGAAGGGATTTCTGGGAAGTCACACAAGTCATCTTTACACATGAGTCCGGCGATATGTGGATGTAGGCACTCTATGCTGCCAGGTGCTTCAGGATGTGTGGAAATCACACTTCCAGGTTGGATTTGGTTCAGCTGCCCTGTGAGAGCAGTGCTCATAGCCACCTCACTACCCTCAACTCAGTAGATACGTCCTGGTTGCTTTTCCTGAGGTTTCTTTATTCGCCCTGTGTTAGGATTGATTGCATTCTAGTCTGTATCCTATACCCTCTCAGAAGGAAGAGCAATAAGGGGAGTGGGGAGCAGGGTCTTCTAGATGTGCCAAAAGCACCCAAAGAATAAGGAAATATAAGAACCTGCCTACTTGCCCGAAGGACCCCAGAAGGAGGGCTGCAGAGGCAGCTATAGTACAGGCTCTGATGGGTTACATGGGCAAGTTACAGGCTGCCTGAATAATGGAATTTTAGCCAGGCAAAATTGAAACAAGAAAGCCAGGGGTGGTGGCTCAGGCCTGATATCTCAGTACTCAGGAGGCTGAGGCAGGAGGGTCACCACAGGTTTGAGGCCAGCCTAGGCTACATAGTTCAAGGCCAGCCTGAACTGCATAGTGAGACTTTGTCTCAAAAAACAAAACAACAACAACAAAAAGAAATGAGGACTGATGCTTAAGGGAAGAAGCAAATAAGACATTATTACTAAGTGGGGGAAAAGTCACAAAACAGAAAGCATACATTTTAATTTTTGTTATTGAAGATTGTGAATCTATAAGAATAACCGGCAACCTTTGTATCGATTAAATATCCTTTATCATAAATATTTGGGACTAAAGGTGTTAGGATTTCAGATTCTGGAATATTTGCGTAGCCATAATGAGACCCCCTGGAAGTGGGACCTGAATCTGTACATGGAGTTCATTTGTGCTATATCTGCCCCTTATTAACATAGCCTAGCGTGATATTACAGGATATTTTTAGTGTGCCTATATTTTTATATTTTAAAGGCTTTATGTTTATGGCCTTCTAAATGGCCAAAACTTTTAGTTTCCAGCGAAATACAAGATGCATGTAAACACAAAATATAAAACAAAACAACCCTAAACTTTACAGTTTATGATGCCAAGGTAGAGCATTTCTGCAGAAGACCCCCATCAAAGTGACAAAGGGCACCTGGACAGTAGCAGACCAAGGTGCTGGTCCTTTACCCAAGGACATTGCATCTTTGTGATGAAATCTTTGAAATGAACAGACATTTCTCAGACAAAGAAGTAAAAGCAGCAAGTAAATATATGAAAAAATGTTGCACATCACTGGTCATTTGAGAGATATAGATGAAAACAACACTAAGATTCTACCTCACCCCAGAAAGAGTGGCTGCTATCAAGAAATCAACCAATAACAAATGCTGGTGGGGCTTCGGGGAGAAAGGAACCCATCTCCATTGTTGGTGGGAGTGCAGACTGGTACAACCACTATGGAAATCAATATGTAGATATCTCAAAGAGCTGGGACTAGAGGTTCCATTTGACCCAGCCATCCCTCTGCTGGGTATCTTTCCAAAAGAATTAAAAGAATCACACCACAGTGATATATGCATACCTATATTTGTAGCAGCACAGTTTGTAATAGCTAAGACTTGGAAACAGCCCATTTGCCCATAAGTTGGAAACTGGATAAAGAAGATGTGGTTTTTCTATAAAATGGAATACTACTCAGCCTTAAAGAATGAGAAATTAGAATCATTCATAGGAAAATGGATACATATTGATGATATACTCCTATGTGAAATAAATAAGTCATGCAGGTGTAATATGGAATAGTTTCTCTGGTGTGAAAAACTATAATAGTACATAAGATCCTAATGAAATAATTGACAGTGTGAAATAGGAAGAAAAGGGCTAAAGGTGTAGGGAAAGTTGGGAGGATAGGGGAAAGGTAATAAGGGAAAAGAAAAAATACGAGAAAATGAAAAAATGGAAATAAAGTGTTTGTAAATGGGGAGGGGAGGAGGGGGTGAAGGGAGGTCAGGGACAAGGGGAAAAAATGAGAACCAAGACCTGTCATGTAAAGGTAAAAGATCCCAATAATGAATGTAACTGTACTGTATACCTAAAATGTACCAATAAACTCAATTAAAAAAAAAAGACACATTCAGCTCCAGCTCCCTGTTGCAGACATTAAACATAATTGGAAGAAGCCTAGATGAACTAAAAAAAAAAAATCCACTCTTAAAAATAGCAGAGACACACCAAGTGTGGTGTTACACGCCTGTAATCCCAGCTACTTGGGAGGTTGAGGCAGGAGGACCACAAGTTCAAGCCCAGCCTGGACAAATTGGTGAGCCCCTG